CTAGCGGGTAAGGGTAGCCAAGGCCTAAGAGACTAACACATTTATTAGAGCATAAGCTTTCGTGGACTACAGCCCACTTCTTCGGATGCAATATGCACTTGATTTAAAGTGGGCTGTAGTCCACGAAAGCTTATGCTCTAATAAATGTGTTAGTCTCTAAGGTGCCACAAGTACTCCTGTTCTTTTTGTGGATACAGACTAACACGGCTGCTACTCTGAAACCTGTAGGATATGACAGATATCAGAATCACTGGGTGAAGTTCTCTGGCCTGTACTATGCAGGAGGTCAGACTAGGTGATCATAATGGTCTCTTTGGGCCTTAAACTTTATGGCTATATTAAATAGTCTTGCCCTGCCCCTATGACGAGTCATTTTCAGCCTCACAATCCAGCATTCCCCTCTCACTGTTAGCTATTTCAAAGCCTCTGCAGCTCAACCCTTCTCAGAGGTTAGGGGTATCCTTTTGACATGCAAATACTGTGGTGATCATTCTCTAGTCTACTCTCAAGCAAGCAAAATAGATTTTTAGCAGCCACATTCCTGAGAGAGAGGCTGTTCGTCTCCCTTCACAGCAAATCGGGAGGTCTGCTTTTTGTTTTGTTGCTTTTTCTAAAGGTGGCATACGCACCAGTCAGTTTCAGACCTCTCCCCCTAGACAGGGAAGGCAGAGACAAAGGACTTTTAGTTTCAAAGACTTTAAAGTATGGCTTTATTCAACTTCAACATTTTCAATATGTGGAATCAGTTAATATAAAACAAAGCCCATTACTTCAGTAAAACAAGAGGTAACTATTTTATTCAGCTTTTAACATCCTCCCCTCCTTATTTAGTTACTCCTCTTTCTACAACAGATGTATTTTTTACTCTCATACTAAGAATCTGCTATAATGCCGCTGAAATCATTGCTAAAATTATATACACTCTCTTGCATGTAGATTTTCCATGGCAGATAGGCCAAGTAACAGACGGCAGAGACTGGAGATTAAGAATGAAAGGAGCTTCAATGAAAATACTGTAATCTTGCAGCAATAGCCTCATTCTGGTGTGACCCACTGCCAGGCTGGGAAAATGAGAGCTGGTTCCCCACTGCCGGAGAGACCAGCAACATTGGGCCTGCACGAAGCCACCCGAGTTCTGACAGCACCAAGCAGCTCAGTGCCTAAATCATGCCTAAGCTTCAGCAGGCTTCACAAACTCCGTGTTTCCCCGCATCTTGCCCTCAGGACCTGTTCTGGTCGAGGTGCCCAGAGAATGCCTAAGAACATGGCTATCAGATCAGGTTCTGCAGAAAATACGGTGTGAGCAGTGGCATCCACAAGCCCAGTGGCACTAACTCAGGATGCGGGAGACCTGGGTTCAAATCCCTTCTCCGCCTGATTCAGAGAGGGACTTGGACCCAGCTCTCCCACATCCCAGGTGAGTGCCCTGACCAATGGGCTACAGGAGGTGTTTTGGAGCGGGGCTCTCTCAATCCCTCCTGTTGAAGATATCCCCTTTGTCTGAAATATACCGTCATTGGGCCAGAGTGAGTGAGTACAACACTACAACTCAGCACTCACCTGGGCCAGAGAACTGAGCATAAGGGAGGCACCAGCACTTCCTCATGCGCGTGAGAAAGGGCTGATCTGGGTTAGGCATCTAACTCCAGGAGAGGGTTCACAGCACCTCCCTCCAACCTAACTCCATTTGGGGGGGCATCCCCGCCCCCCAACATTTCCTACTGGCTAGCTAAGGCGGCTCCCCACTCAGCATGCCGCTCCGCCCCCCCCTTTTTTTAAAGGCACCTCACTCTCCCCAGGCATTGTATAGGGAGACTGGGTGCCTAACTCAGGGTTGTGAATTCCTCTAGGCAGCAAGGCACCTAAAAGTTAGGTATTGCAATGCTAAGCACTGGAGTGCCTAACTCCCCTTGTGTATCTAGCCCATGGTGTTTTTCTCAAAAGGCCCAGCTTCAGGAATTTTGTGATTACATGGAAAGAGGAAGTTACTTTCCGTGTGGTAAATGGAAGCTCTTTGAGATGTGTGGTCCCTATCTGTACCACAAGTTAAGTAATTTCCTCTTCTTCTTTGAGTGCTGGTCCCTATGTGTATTCCACTGTGGGTAACTGACCAGCAGGAGGAGGATGCAAGGATGCAGAGCCGTTCGGAGAACTGCTGTCGCAAAGGATGCGGTGGAGTCCTGCACTAGCGCATACGGTCTCTCAAACGTGGGGCTGGAACTCCATGTAGCTGCTCTGCAGATGTTGAGTAAGACTTTGGGATTGGGATGCTTGATCCTGCCCTTCTCCTGGGTCAAGAGATTGGGAAAGGACTGGATGCTGAATGGAGGACGAGATGACCATCACAGGAGATTTGAGAACCAAAACTGTCTGCGCGACAACTGGGGGTGATGAGGACGGTGCCCTGTCCTGACGAGTTTTCCGAAACACCTGAGGTAGGAGCGGTAAGGGAAGAAAGGCATAGCTCAGGTGGTCTGCCTGGGGAGAACGAGAGCATCGACCTAACAGCATAGTCCTAGAGCTCCTCTGCACCAATATATGTTGCTGTTCTTGTTCATTCAAAGGGCAAAAAGATCCCGAGTGGGGGAGCACATTGAACGAGGAAGCTATCTACTACTGAGTCATGCGATCAATGGCAAAATGCCTGCTGAGGGTGTCCACCAACACATTCGATAAGCTGCGGACAGGCTGATTCAATATCTGATACACCATTCCACAGGGCGACTGCTTCTACACATAGGGGACTGATTTCGTCCCTCCCTGTTTGTTGGTGAAAAAGAGGGTTGTCTTGTCGTCTGACATTATGTGGACATGTTGGGACAGATGAATTGTAAACAAACCTTGCAAGCTTCTTGGATTAGTCAGGGTGCCAGAAGGTTGATGTGCATCCCGGTCTTTAAGGATCTCCAAGCGCTCTGTGCCATATGGCTGTCCATATGGGCCCACCAGTAAGACAGAAGCGTCTGTAACCATCACCTTGCCTGTCAAGAACAATAGGAAGGGGACGCCTACATGTACCTGACGGAAATACTTCCACCACTTCAGGGTAGACGTGACTCTGGAAGAAATTCTTGTTATGGTATTATACTGTGTTTGGTCTGGAGCGCCGTCTGAAGGCAATCTAAGTGGAGTCAGGTGACTAGGGTAATGTAAGTACATGAAGCCATGTGCCCCAGGAGGGAAAAACAAGATCTGACTGGAGCTTGAGAGTTGTACATAACCTGATCTATTAGGTTGCTTATGGTTGTTGATGTCCCTTGATAGGTAAATTCTCACCATGACTGGATCTACAGTGGCCCCTATGAAGTCTATAGTCCACAGTGGAGCAAAGACAGACTTTTCCAATTCACACTGACTCCTAGAGAGGAAAGTAGCTGAAGCACTGATGAGGTTGACTTATAGGCTTCCTGACGTGTCTTGGCAATGAGAAGCCAATCGTCAAGATGGGGAAACTGAAGAAGACATTCTGTCTGAAATGAACTGCTGTTACCAGAAAGACTTGGTCAAGACACTGGGGGCAGTGGCAAGGCCGAATGGGAATACCCTGTATTAAAACTATTCAGAGTTCTCCATGAATCTGAGACAATGCCATCACATTGAGAGCTGTGAGCCATATGCCATTTTCCAGCGATGGGATTATTTATGCCAGAGTGACCATGCGAAATCTCATTTTACAAATAAAGCTGCACTTGTCGTTTCAATGGAGTTGCACCTGCTTACACCAGCAGTGAATTTGGCACTGAGCCTACACTCTTTGTTGAGCTACTACTTGCATCATTGAAGATACCGTACTGTAGAGTCATGGGGTGAAATCCTGGCCCGACTGAAGTCAATGGCAAAACCCCATTGATTTCCATAAAGCCAGGATTTTACAAGGGGCTTTATGTTCCAGTTTCCAGTGGAACTAGAATAGCAAAATAAAGCAGCAACCATCTACAAGACAAGCTACCTACGAGTAGCATACTGAGGTTCCCCTGAGACCTCTTCACTTGGTTCCCCACAAACTCAGTTCAATTCCAGTCTCATCACTCAAGCTCCTTTACTAGCATACAATCAAACTACGCTTGAGTCGATCAGGCTCTAGCATAGGGGGTGGGTACAGAGTATACCACACATCCAAAGCTGCACAGCAAACCTCTTCCTTTATATACATTTATACATTACATTGTATTTACTATACATTGCATCACATGTTCTGGCATTGGCTTGGTCGCTTTGTAGGAACCAACCCATGTACAACACATGTTGTCCATGCACGACTTGCTCTTTACTTCATCTTACATTCCAGGTTTATCGGATTCATTATTATCTTGTCAACAGGAAATGGTTCCCTGGGTATCCCCCCTTATCTTAGCCAGTACAGATATTCTGTTCCCAGCCTGCTGATCATTTCTGGGGAGACAGGATTAGGGAGGTAAATGGGGAGGCCTCATTCACAGCCAATTACTCATGTCAAGCCAGGCCTACCGAGAATCCTGCATGCAGAGGGGGAAGACAGTTTGGGAAGAGCAGGGCTGTCAATTACAAACACTGGGGAACTGATCACTTACTTTGGGAAGATGGAAGTCATGAGCGCTGATGCATACCCAGGTTTGCAAACTCCCTCAGAGAAATTTGCATACTTTGATGCTAGTTCTGGAGGCCTGTGGAAAAAAGGATGAGAGTCAAGACTTTCCAGGGTATGTAAATGCTGAGTGTGTCACCCTGATCCTTTTATTATTTAAATCTTTTCCTTAACAGTGCTTCTCCAAAACAGCTATGAAGAATCTTAACAGAAACAAAAGGTTTTTTGTTTGTTTTTTACACTACTATGGGAGAATATCAAACCACCGTGGGGTCAGAAATATCTGAAACACCACTAAATCACTACTTCTATTGCGGGACTTCAAACTCTTAGGAAGGTGACGCTCCAGGAAGGAATTAAAGCTATCCAGATACTATTTTAGATGGCTGCCTCTCCAAAAGGAAGTGAAGACTAAAAGGTAACAGAGAACCACTTGTTCAGGCTATTTTTCTACTACACCTCTACCCCGATATAACGCTGTCCTGGGGAGCCAAAAAATCTTACCGCGTTATAGGTGAAACCGCGTTATATTGAACTTGCTTTGATCCGCCAGAGCGCGCAGCCCTGCTTTACCGCGTGATCAGAATTTGGGTTCTATCGGGTGGCGTTATATCGGGGCAGAGGTGTACTTGCTAGAAGTAAGATGTCAGTGGAAATATTACTTACCGGACAAGTTTCAAACATTTTAATCCAATTACAAAGCAGATTTCTACTAGCCTACAGCCATCAGCCACTGTTTAGACTTGAAAGGGGATGGAACCTTTGGACAGCCAAACAGACAGAGCTGCCCTTGTTCTATTGGGAAGTGGCCTAATAGCACAGCCGGTCACAGGCCGAGCAGTGACTCCAGATACAGAAGCCTAAAGAAAAGAGCAGTAACTGACACACAGTCTAAGTGGTTAAAGCTTGGCACTAGGAGAGAGGAGATTTGAGTCTAGTACACAACTTTGCAACAGACTTACTGTGTGACCTTGAGCAAACCTCTCTGTGCCTCTGCTCCCCATCCGCAAAATGGAGATACTACTACTCATCCATATTACAGATATATTGCAAGGCATAAATCATTAATGGAGATACCTAGATGCAAGCCACTACACAAAAATTATTATTCCAAACAAAAAACTGATGAGAAATGGTCCTACGGCACTAGAGATATACTGCACCATTGATAGCAACTATTCAACAATGACATTTTGATACGGTTCTAAAATAGTAGCGAGAGAAGGCGAGTAGTGTGGATCCATGCAGACAGTCCTCTCAAAGAATCTCAGTTACCACCAGAACTGTTCTTTCTTCTCCAAGCATTGCCTACATGGATCCTGCCTCTAGTTATTTTGTCCTCCCACACCAGTTGGCTTTGGGATCTGATGTATTCATTTAGATTGAATATGCAGATCCAAAGAGTTAAAGGTGTTAACACGACCAGTCACTATCAACACTGAACAGTTTTAAACAAAGTTAAAACCTCCAATCGACAAATTTTAAACACACCAATTTTGGTTCATTGATTTCCATTCCTCTACTCCTCGTTTACCAATCATCTTAACACAGTCCTTGAGTGGAATCAGTACAGCCCTTTCTGTTTGGACTAATTCAGTCTGTCTCTTTTCTCATCAATGTTTGTTGTGATCACTTATTGTGGCACTTTATGAACTTTCTCTCACTTTTTACAGTTGAACAATTAGTGGAAATTTGTAGGCCCATTTATCACAACATAACCTCTCTCATGGCAAGGGAACACCCATATATGCTACAAAAGCTGCATTTTAAGGAACAGCTTCCTTCTGTTGATTTAATAATAAGAGCTATTTACATCTAACCAATGTAGTTTATACACATTTGGGAATAGATGGGAGTTGGAGAAAAGGAAAAGTTATTCCTACTTGGGAATTTCCTTTCTTAGAACCTTCATAGGCTCGTGGTTAAGGCACAGGCTGAAGATTCTGGAGATACGGGGACAATTCTCAGATCTGCCAGATCTTAATTCTCATTACTTTATCCATCTGTTCCTCATCTATAAAGTGAAAGTAATAATACTTCCTTTCGCAGTCTTGTCTATTTATGTTGTAAACTCTTCAGAGTAGGGACTATCCTTGCTATGTCTGTGTGCAGGGCACAGCGCAATAGGGTCCCTCTCCTGGTTGGTGCTACTATCATACAAAGGAAAACAGTAAAAGGTGGGATTTTAAAAAGTGCCTACGGAGTTAGCAGCACAAGTCCCACTGTGACTTTCAATGGGGTTTGTGTTCTTCACTTCCTTAGGTGATTTTGAAAAATCTCACCCTAACTAAATAATTGAGTCACCAAGACTGCTGGCTCCTGTCAAACAGAGAGCAGTACTACTAATCAATAATGATGATTATGTGGACTTGGACCGTGCCGTCCAATCAAGGAACTCAAAGTAGTTTACAAACATCAGATAACTCAGGCACTACTGTGAGAGAGGTAAATATTTTACATACACAGAAAGAGGCTCTTTTTAACTCAAAAGACCCCAGAACCACTAAAATGCAGTCAGGAGTTGGAGCATGATATGTCAGTCAGCCAGACCACAGCACACTGTAAAGTGTGTAAGGATGTGTGTATGTATAGGAAAGAGGGTAACATTCTAGATACACCAGGCAAACTCTAACTCTGCAGTGACATTGGATCTTTACTGTTTGAACAGTGAAGTACTGACGGGACAGAAAGCCCCTCAATTTGTTAAGGTTTTCTCCAACAGACCCTGGCATCATAAACTGCATCATGTAGAATTCACTTATGTCAGTAGAAAAAGAGGAGTCATCCCTGCCAGGATTTGAACCTGGCATTCCAGGGAGTCCAGGTATTCCAAACCTATGGCTGAGACTGCTAATCTGCTGTTTCCGGTTTACTGTAATACTATATTCATCTGCTATTTACACCATGGTCTGTTGGTGGTGGTAGAGACTTTCAATGAGTTCAATTATAATGAGTGGTTCTCCCCTGGCCAGGGTGTGAGACAAGGTGT